AGGTTTTGGCCATTGTTTCTTGAATATGACCTATGGGCGGCGTCCTCCACAACTAGACTGAAGAACAAAAAAACGACAGCAACTTGTCTGTTCCCCTTCCCCCAATTCCCCAGCACTGTTCCTCATCCTCCCAATTCCCCAATAAAAATCTTAAAAAAAAAAAAAAAAGTGATTGGCACTTGTATCCACTCCCCAGGGAGGGCCCAGGCCTGTGTCCCTCAAGATAAATTATAAGCTGTCAAAACACCTTTAGAAAGAGGAGATAAGACCCTAAATGGAATGATCTGGTTTTCGGGCTTGTACAGACTGCCGGAGCCTGCCCATAACTTGAACTCCAGCCTCATTATAATACAATTAGAATAAATAGAACATTATGGTTTCCCCCCACCCCTGTGGGTTCTTCTATATGCATTATTGAGTGAGAGCATGCATAGAAAGAAACTAGTTATATAACCAGCAAAAGCCAATCAAATTACTTCGGTCTATATGTAAAATATCCTGAGTTTAGACATCACATCCTCTACAATAGGGAAGTGTATCTACTCTTTCCTATATAACAAAAGCTATTTTAAAGATCAGTGCAGTTGTCTGCTGGAGACTCTGCCTTCCGCCACTTCTCTGTAGGTGTCTTTCTTCTTCAATAAACTTTCTAACTTCTATTCCTTTGTGCCTTGTGAATTCTTTCACATTCTGCAAACGAACAGGGGTATCCAAATACAAAACAGTTCTTATGATTATATGCATTAAAGACAAAGGAACTGAGGCTTAGAGGTTAAACTTTTATCCCAGGTCATTCAGTTAGGAAGTAGAAGAACTGGATTCAAACCTAGGCAAATCTGATTCACGAAGGAATAAGAAGGAATATTAAAATGAAACACAGTACTAATTTTTTGGATAAGCACATAATACATTAATGTCTTAAGAACACCCAGAAGGTATTCAGGACAGTCTGAGGAAAAATGAAGAATAGTCTGGGAGAAAACTTTGCTTGAAAATCCTATGTTGTGATGGAATCAAGTAGGTTTCCACATTAAAGTCTTATGTTCTACAACCAACTGGCGTTGAAGACAAAGAAACAAAAAAAACCCCCAAAAACTTGTAGAATGAAAGTTTTGCTTTCAGAACACTACTAGTAAGGCAAGTTCC